TTGAGGGAGGATTCAGGACCAAGGTAGAATTTGAACTGGGCTTCAGGTATGTCATTTAGCTGAACAAAAGAGACACTGGAGGACATGAAAGGTGGTGAAGAGACAGTATGAGGTGGGCACAGAAGAGCCCAGTGTGTCCAGGGAGCTGTGGGCAGAACCACCTGACTAGGCAATAGATGGGGAGTGAGTGTCATGTGTGGCTTGTGGGGGGCCTTGGAAGCTGGGGAGAGGACATGTTCACCTCTAGGAAGTCCCAAGTGATGGAAGGAAGGCTGCTTGGGTCTCTTATCAGTGGGCCCATGAAACCAGGATGGCTCTTTATTGGCTCAGACTCCCACAGTGATTGCTATGGGAATTCCTTATAAGTAGGATCAGATGTGAAAGACAATGAGCCAACAGAAAGGAGAATCAGGAGGCTGTCAAAGCTTCAGGAACCTGAGCTTCATCCTCTTAAAATTCTTTCATAGTATCAAAGTGGGCTCTATCATGCACTAAAATGTTTGACCATATACCCAACTTTGGCCAAGGTATGAATGAACACAACCCTAAAGTCTGTGCTAATAGAGTCACCAAATTTTAAAATGGCCAAAGAATCACGAGCTGCTGAATTCAGTCCTGAGGGAGAGGCAGGCTCTTTCCTCTATTGCTCATTCCACAGAGCTGCTGGCTTCATATTTGCTTCAAGGGGTTTGCAGTGACCCTGGAGGTACTTAGCAATTCTAATCCCATGTTTCAAGCCAAAATTCATTTTAGCCAGAAAGGGTGCCTATTGCAAAATGATACTCCCAGCTGCTTGAAGGAAAAATGGGTCAGTGAAGAGAGAGCTCAGATGTCTCAGCTTTAAGGTACTCAATAAATCTATGTTTAATGGGTTAGGACATTTTCAACAACATAAATTCCTGGGCCCTACCCCCTCAGAGATTCTGACTTTTTAAGTCTGGTGTAGGCTTAGGAATCTGTATTTTAGCAAGCATTCTTCAGTGATTCTTGTCATCAGGAATGCTTTAGAAACAGTGGGTGACTGTATGCTAATGAGTTAGTGAAAGGGTTGGCAAACATTTTCTGTAAAGGGCCATATTATTTTAAGCTTTGTAGGCCATACATGATAGCACAAAAGCAGCCATTGGCAATATATAAATGAAGAGCATGGCTGTGTTCCAATAAAGTTTTATTTATAAAAGCAGGTGGTGTGCTGCCCTGAACAGTGTGACTCAGTTGATTGGAGCATCATCCTGTACACTGAAAGGTCACAGGTTCAATTCCCAGTCAGGGCACATACCTAGGTTGCGGGTTCATTCCCCAGTCAGGCGCTATGGGAGGCAACAAATTGATGTTTCTCTCTCTCTCTCTCAAATCAATAAACATATCCTCTGATGTGTATTTTAAAAAAAAACACAACAGGTAGTATGCAGGATTTGCCCCATTCAGACCTATAGTCTGCTGGCCCCTGAATTGTGTTCATGACTCCTCCCTTGTACCACATTCACAGTTTGACCAGGGCCTTCCCAATTTTCAATATTTTAATTCAAATGAATGACCCCAGTATTTAAAACTTCAGGCCCAATAGCTGGGCTTTGAATATTCTTTGAGACAGGGTAATCTTTGGGAGTCCCTTGTATCCACACTGCAAGGCAGGTGTCACTATGTTGAAGCATAAGGCTAGATGTGACTTCATGACATGTAGCAAAGAGTGAGTCACAATCAGTGATCAAGGCTGAAGACTTGAGAATAGAATGGCATCTTAAAGACCAACAAGGCAAGAGTCAATGAGGAATGGGGCACAAACAAGCTGAAAATAGTTCTAAGACACCAAAGATTATTGTAATCCCTGAAAATAATGGCAGTTCCAATTATTCCTTCATGGTTTTGCTCCTATATATCTGAATATTTTGTTTGTAGTGGTATCTCTAAGGCAGAATCTAATCTTGGACTTTTGATAGGGATAGCAAGGAGGCTGTCCCCTCCCTATAGGTGAATACATAAAAGGATACCAGTTGGGGTTCTTCATATATTCAAATCTATTCAATAGGACCAAAGTAGAACTAGAACTAGTGGGTGAAAGATCAAGAATGGACTTTCAGCTTTATTCTGCTATGAGGAACAATCGCTAATGCAAGACTCAGGAAATCTGGTTTGCAGTTTTAGTCCCACTACCAAATTATTTTGATAACTTTGAGCAAACCATATCCTCTTCCCAGGCCTCTGTTTAATGTGTAAAAATGAAGGGTGGACAGCATGGCCCATTCAGGTGTGTAGAGAAGCCTCACTTTACACTGTGCAGGAGGGCATCCCATGAGGGATGATCACAGAGAAAGGAGAGGGTGTCTGTCAGGTAGAACGATGTCACCTGCCTCATGTCTGTGGCACCTTGAGTGGAAATTTGGACTACTGATGGAGTCAAGGAGAGCTGCCTGAACATAGCCACAGATCTTTCTCTCTTGCCCTTTCCTTCCTGCGGCAGCCTGCAGCTCCCCACCCAGGATTTGAGCACCAAGCTGTGCAACACACAAAGACATTTCTCAACTTCCATGAACAATCAATACTGTAATCACCCTAGAATGATCTCTCTCTAACACAATGAAATCCAGCCCTGGATTTCGTTGTGCTATATCGTCGCAACCAACAAATTATCCCCATGGCTCAGGATGAATGTCCCAGGTTCCTTTAGCTCAGTGGTTCCCAACCATAGCTGCATTTTGAAATCATAGGAAGCTTTAAAAAAAATACAGATACCTGGACCCCATCCCCAGGGATTCGATGTAATTGGTTTGGGGTGGGGCTTGGGTATCAAGTTTTAAAAGTTCCTTCAGAGTTTCTGCCGTGCAGCCTAGACTGACACCCACTGAGGTTCTTACTGGATTCAGGTTGAACAGGTGGCTTTCTGCAATCTTCCCTATGGGGGGAATAAGGTTGCTGGCTGTGAAAAAGAACACAGCTGGGGCCAGGGCCCCAGACCTGATGAGGACGTTTGTTTCTAGTGTGTCTTTATCTTAGGGCCCTGCCCTCCTGTGGCTGACCTGGTAAATGAATCTCTACCACAGCATTAATGATAGAAAATAGCTTCATGTATGCCTTCCAAGATGGCAGAGACCTTCAGGGCCTTAACATAAAGAAATTCTGGGCTGGAGGTGGGCAAGGGGGGAAATGGGAACATCTGTAATAGTATCAACAATAAAAATAAAGTTAAAAAAAAGAAATTCTGGATTGTAGGATTCAAAGGCTCCATGGCAAGGCTGGTAGGGGAGGTGGTTTGAAGGAGCCCCAACCTGATTTCCCCGTCTCCCTCATCTCAGAAAATCACACCCCCATTCTTCCTGTTGACTCCTCTCTTTTTGACCTCCTATATCCAATTCGTCAACATATTGTCTTGGTTCTATCTCATAGTATATCCAGATTTCAGTCACTTTTTATAATCTCCATTATTACTATTCTAGCCCAAGCTGCCATCATATTTCAACTTATTATTGCAGTAGACTCCTAATTGGTCTCCCTACTTTGGCATCACACTCCAACACGATTTTCCACACAGCAGCCAGAGGAATCCTTTTAAAATGCATGTTAGACACTGTCTGCTCAAAAACCATCCAGTGGAGTAAAATCCAAAATTCTTGCCATGGCTTAAAGGCCCTACATTACCCAGTCCCTCACTGTCTCTGTAAGCACAACCCCTCTGACTCCACCTCAGTCATTCTCCTGTAGCCTCACTAGGCTGCCTTGCTGTTCCTCATGCACCCCATTTCTAATCTCACCTCAGAGCTTTTATTGTTCTTTCTTCTTGGAAGGTTCTTTCTTCAGATAGCCTCATGGCTTCTCTCCCTCACTTCCTTCAGGTTTCCGCTTAAATATCACCTCCTTGGAGAGGTCTTCCCTGACCATCCTGCCTAAACTAGCACTTCTATCACTTCTACCCTTACTCATTCTTTTGCAGCATCCCTTACCCTGCTCAGTTTGTCCTTATAGTTGTTTTTTGCTACCTAAAAGATATTTGATTATTGTAAGTCTGTTCCTGCTAGAATGAATGTTCCTTGAGGTCAGGGAGTTTTGTCTGTCTTGTGTACTGCTGAATCCCTCATCACCTAGAACAATGCCTGGCACATAGAAGGCCCTCCCTAAATTTGTCACATGAATGAATAAATGCCTCTAAATACATGATTCCTGCATTTCCTCCAGTACAAGGAGCACCCAGGAAAGACTTAGTTTCAGGATTTGCTAACCATGTGTCCTGCTGAATTTGTGGGACAATTTTCAAGAACTAGAGAGCCTAGCTGATTCTTTGGGCATTCATATAGAATTGAACAAACAAGGTGGTAGAGAGCCCAGAATTAAAAAGCGAGGACACCTGGGTAAATCCCCAGTGTCTCTGTTTCTGAATAGTGCAGAAATTGTGGATAAATCATTTTGGAGTGCTAGGAATCCTTTCTTCCACATCTAAAATAATATTTTCTATGGGCTGCCTTCCTATTGGCAGGACATAGCTGTGAGATGAATAAGATAATTCCTTGTAAATCCTTTCAGATGCTTGTATTGAGATGCAATAAAAACCACCATTTAGGTATATCTCACATTAAGAAAATCAAATATATAAAAATTCACTGCATTATTAAAGAATTTTTGCAAACTCCCTTAGACCTAGAGCATTAATAATGGGATTCAATTCACCCAAATTTGATTCATGCCCAGCTTTTTCAGAACACAAAAACCCCAGGGTGGAGCAAAAGTAGGTTTACAGTTGTTTGTATGAAAAATAATACAATAATCAATAATATTATAGTAATAAACTGTTTCACATACTCATAACTGTAAACCTACTTTTGCCCCACCCTGTATAAGAAAGCATTTAGCACATTACCTTGCATCTAATGGAGGATCAATATCTATTTATTGACTTATTGATCAATAAGGAAAAGTGTACCCATCCTGAAACATCTTAACTCTGGTGTGGCAAAGGTCAGGTTTTTCTCAGGCATGGAGAACTCACCAGCCCTCTCTTCTTTTTCCAGTCCCCCAAATCTGCCTTCATCAGTGCTGCAAAGAAGGCCAAGCTGAAATCCAACCCTGCGAAGGTCCGATTTTCCGAGCAGGTGGCAGTTGGAGAAACAGATGCAGTAAGTGCAGCTTCCACTCCCTCTCCTCAGCCTTTGGCCAGAATTGGCTCTGCTGTCGAGGTCTCACTCTGAGGAATTGCTCATCTGCTGCTCCTCAGAGGGGACAACATTACAAAGCAGTTGGAGGGGGAGACCTCGGGGCTCTGGGTGGATAGTGAGCAAGGGGTATGTGTCATCCAGAGAGGCCCTGGACATTGTGGGGAGAAATAACATGTTATCGATTCACTCAAGATCCTTGTGGTGCTTAGAGAAATTTCATCTCTAGCACAGCAGCTTACACTCAGAACAAGTGCTCCATAAACGTCTTTTGGCTACTTGATAGAAGCAGGAATGAAGTAGTGGTTTTCCAAAGATCCAGAGAGACAGCAGCTAGTGAAATTGAGCTCTCTTCAACATTGAAGTGGTCCTGCAACTTCACATCTTGACTGAAGAAAACTGTGCACTGAAGGGTGATACAGACTCTCATTAAGCCACAAAGCTTTTATTAGTCACCTGCTGTGTTCCCAGCACCACAAGGGATGCGAAATAAATACCTGTTCCCTGCCACTGGATACATCTCGGTGATGTTGGGGGTTCAGATTAAGACAGTATAGGATACCTTGCTGAGAGGTATGGTTTTGAGGAGCAGGTGACGCTTGGTAGCTCGTGCCATGTACCGGTCAGTTTAGAGGGGTCATGGTCTGCCCTCAATCTTTCTCACTTCTTTGTGGGGTTTACATGAGCTGAGCTGTCTGCTCCAGATAAGCAAATGAGAAGAGGTGGATAGAAAGCAGAAAGATGTGTGGTAAGCAATCATAGATTATCGCCAGAGTATCCCAGGAATCTGCAGATGTTGGTGATATCTGGTGAGGGTGGGATGTGGAGTATGGGTGGGGTGG